CCCTCCAAAAAACCTCTTTTATCCCCCCCCCCCCCCCCCCCCCGTGTCGAGCAATCCATCTAAAGATACGAAATGATGGATCACCAGGGGTCGAAGACAAAAATAAAAAGTCAAAAAGAAAAAAAAAACCGAACCTCCCCCACCCTCCGAGCTTGGCAGCCCAGAAGAGTCTAGGACGGCTGACCGGGTCGACGCCGTTTCTGACTCCGTTCGTGTCTCCACTCGGGGAAAAGTGGCTCAGAACCAGGGGTTTTCTCCAATGGCCACGACCCTGACTCCTCCAAAACGTCCAGCTAATTAAGCAACAGGCTTAAGTCGAGCACCATGTCGAGCACGACCAGTTGGTTGGCGATGATTTGAGGCTGAGGCGCGCTCAGGGCCAGGGACAACAAGAAGCCGTTCAGCCGCAGCGCCAGATGCAGAAATGGCCGAGGGAGGACAAGCAAAATCCTTTCCCAGCCATTGCTCGTGGCGAGGAGGACCAGTTGACATCTTTGGACGCTGGTGACTGCGGCGCCGCATCTGCCTGATCATCGTGCAACATTTTATTCATGGTTCATCCCCCTCGGTGTTGAATCCCGTCCTTCGTTTCTTGCTGCTTCGTGTACAGTCACTCGCTTCTGCTGCCTTGGATACCCCCCGAGTGCTGTCTGACCACGCCGACGTCCAAAGATTGAAGACCAGTCGTCACCCGGTTCAGTCAAGCATCAATTGATCTCCAAACGCAACAACACCACGCTCGCTTCACGATTCAAACCATGGCTCCAGAGCAGTCTTCCCAGACTGAACCACACACGGTGTCGCCCGCCCAGTCGTCCACTTCTCCCTCGACTCAACCTCGAGAGCCATCCCCCCTCATCCATCCGAGTACCAATGCCGTCCAGCAACCCTACGGTCTCTATCCGCAATCCTATGGATCGCACTTTGTCCCGTACGACCAGACTGCTCCCCAAAAGCTTCGTCAGATGATGCAGCAGCAGCAGCAGCAGCAGGCGCAGATGAACCAGCCGAATCCCCAACAGCCCGTCACATACATGACCGTCCCCCAGCCGTTCCAGCATCCGCCCCAGTCCAACAGGAGAAAAATAGCAAAGGATATTCTCCACGTCCTCGTCATGATCGTGTCCATCATCGGCATGGGCTTCGCCTTTTCACTCCTAGGAAAGGCCATGAACAGGCCCTACAGCAGCAGATATGGCTACTACTACGACAGCTTCGACTACTACCTCCCCGCCGTGTCTGTTGGTCCCGTAGTACGTCGTCGTCGTCCTCACACGTTCCAAAGGCAACTACTAACATGCTCTTAAGTTCGCCGTTGCTTTCCTCTGGAGCCTCGTCGAGCTCATTGTCCGCTGCTCGCGCAACTGGAAGGCCGGCATCCACCCGGGCGCCCACGTCGGCGTCTGCCTGTGCCTCTGGCTCGGTGCCGTCATTGTCGGCGCCCTCCTCGCCGTCTTCGTCGCCCAGCCATGGTACTACGAATCGTGCAGCAGCAGCAGCGGCAGCAGTGACAGCTACGGCTCGTGCTCGAGATACTCGGACCCCATGTTCGTGGGGTCCACGGTCCTCGCGCTGCTTCTTGCCGCCGTCGAATTCATCCTCTTCGTCATCGCCTGCGCCGACACCCACGTCCGCAACCGCTGGAAGCGCAGCGTTGTCATCGCCTCGACGCCCTACTGGGCTCCTCCGCCCCAGGGATGGTACGTCGCCCCGGGCCAGCAGCAGCAGCAATTTGTGCCCATGGGTCAGCCGCCCACGACGCAGGTCCATCCCACGATGGCTGCTCCCGCGCCTGTTCAGACTCAGCCCGCCGCCGCCGCCGCCGCCGAGATGGGAGGGGACGAAAAAGGTCATGCGATCAGGGAGTTTTACACCCCCGGTACAGCTCAGTAGTTGCCGACCCAGATGAATATGTATTAAAGCTCGAAACGAAATATTTAATTTGATTATAAATAGCTAAATAATTAATACGCCGCATATAGACACCATACATCTCCCACTACGTCAGTTCACATACGTGCGCACACGCTCTCTCGTATGTCAACATTCATTATAAATAGTAGCTCGGGCCTTGCCACGCCGCCTCCATTCTAGAATAAATGTCAAGGACTATGTACCAAAGCCGCACCGTGCGGCGCCGCTTTGGCAAGAAACTGCCTTGGACAGGATACAAATTGGCAGTCCAGTCAGAGTACATGGTGGCTGCAGATTATGGTAGTAGTTGACAAAATATTCCATACCCTATCAAATATCAAAGGTAATACAGCAAATGAACCAAAATAGGTACCAAATGACCACAAGAAAAAAAGGTATTCCCAACACCAGTCCCTGTACACAGAGCAAGACAAGGGTATTCATCGCCACCAACGGCTTTTTTGCCAGACATGTCAAACATTTAAAAGTCATCTCTCGCCTCTTCCCAGCGCTTCGTGCTGGCCAGATTCCGCATTTTCTTGGGGCTCCCATTGCCAGCATTCGCACTCGTGGCCCTCAAGCTATCCCTACTCACACGCATTCGTTCCAGCTTCTTGCCCAGATTAGCCACGCCGTCCTTGGAGGTGGTCGCGGACGCGGGTGAGAAATCATCCCTCTCCTCAAGGGGCTTGCGCTTGGTGGGACTTCGACCGGCCAGTTCACGCTTCAGAATGGCGTTTTCTCGCCGCAGACGCTCTACTTCTTGCGTGAGGTCTTCCACGAGGACATTCTCCTTGTCGCACTCACCGTCGTCGAGGGGATTTTCCAGGCCACGCTCGAGGATGTCCACCTTGCGATCCCAGTGCTCTTCGTTGCGCTCCTGCTCCAGCGCCAGGGAGGCCTTGAGGCGAGATAGCTCCAACATGAGGCGCTGCTCAAACTCTGTGGCACACTCGTCACGAATAGCAGCTTCAAGGTCGAGCATGCGGTCTTCCATGCTCAACAGGTGCGCTTCAGCCGTCACGCGTGCTTCCAGCTGCTCGTCGACCTCTACGCGGAGCTGGTCGATTTCGTCGCTCATTCTGGCAATTTCCAATGCGGCAATCTCCATGGTTGCGCGCTCGTCCACATTCATGGGCGGTGTGTGGTTTCTATATGATGCCGATGAACCGGGCGGCACGAAGGGTCGGGGATGGTGTTGTACGGGACTGACTGGTCGCGGATTGCCAGTCGGCGGCGCTTGAGCAAGAATCGTAGCCGTGATGGATGGGATACGAGGAACAGTCACCTCTCGTGCCAGAGCGCTATACCGGAGAATCTGAGACGTTGCGTTAAAGTCGCCCCTCGGATCGGCAGTCACAATCATGACGCCTCTCTGGGGATTGCGACGAGGGACGTGAGGATGCGCTGCGGAAGACGAGGATGGGAATGAATTGGAGAAGAGCAATTCAGTCAGTTTGCACTGGCGATACGGAACAACATTGGGCTGACAAAGAGTTAGCATGGCCACGTGGATATAATCCTCAACAGATAAAAAAACACTCACCTTGGTTGACGACGACAGCTCACTCTGCGTCTGCAAACACTGCCCCAGATACATCAGACTCTCGTTAATCTTACCAGCTTCAACCAACGTGGCACCCTGAGTCTTTGCCTCTCGAGCACGCTCACTGCCCGCCAAGTCGACAATCGTAAGCTTGCTCCCGCCCCAAGGTCCGGGTCTCCTGCTTCTCGTGCGCTTCTTGACCTCGAAGCAGAAGAAGCCGTGGCTTCGGCTGGAAACGCTGTTGCTGCCAGTACCAGCAACCCGGCGCTCCAAAAGGCCAGCCTCGAGCACCATGATGGCATCCTTGAACGAGGCGCAGACTACCTTGCGCAGGCCGGCAACGACCTTTCGGTCAGGAGACAGCTCCGTCGACTTGAACAGCAGAGGTCGTCTGCGAAACTCTTTCGTGGCAGCGGACTTGGACGCAGGCGTAAGGAGGTCGTAGATTCGGTCGTTGTGGACTTCGTACATGGACACGACAATGGCGTACTCGGCAGACGAATCACACGAAATATTGATGCCGCTGATGTCGGGTGTCTGGGGAAGCGCAGACGGTCGGGCAAGGTTTCGTCGTGGTCCAGGCGACATGACGCTGTGGTCTCCCTTTACTCCCTGTTTAGCAACATTCTTCACACGCGCAGTGGCAGTCAGGGACATGAAGTGCCTCTTCCTCTCCCGCTTGGGTAGCGAAGCTTGCGATGCAGCAACATCAGCATCCTGGTTGGGCGTGAGCAGACCGCTTTGGCGAATGAAGCTGTCCTACTGCTCCTTCAACTTGCGGTTCTGCTCCGTCTCGCTGACAAGCCTGACACTTTTCGGGCTTGACGTAGCTGATTCGGGGTACGTCCCTGGGATCTGGACTGCCAGGCCACACTTGGGATACGCCCAGCTTGACAATTTCGGAGAGCGGACAAAAGAGACGCGCGGCATGGATGGTCGTACCAGCATAGGCGTTGCCGCTCGTGAAGGCCCTCGTGAGTGGCCCAACGCATCGGCAAAAGTAGATTCAAGAAAGCACGATGCCGCCGAGAGAACCGACTCTGACGGATCGCACGCCTGGAGGGATTCGATGACCGAAGGAAGCGATGTCGAATCCAGCATATTCGGGCCAATGGATCGAAAAAGAACATCGAGGGCAAGCTGGGTCAGACCGCGCTGGGACTTGGATCCCAAAATCGTGTGTGTCTATAACAGCCCTCCATTAGAAGTGCACGAGCTCCGTGGCTTGCATGAACGAGAAAACTCACCTTTCCTGAACCCGTCACTCCAAGAGTCGCAACGACAGCATCCGTCCCTTCGCCGCCTTGGGGAGCCAAAACACCCTCGGCCAGAGAAGCAATCTCGGTACAGTGGAAAACATCCAGCTGGGAAGCATCGTCCTCAAACACCCTGGTGAAGGCAAACTTTTCAATAGCCCGCCGCCGATCGGTCGGCGGGTTCAACGTGATGTGCGAAGGATGCGACTTTTCCTTGTCCTCGGGCGCCTCGACGTTCAAGATGCGGTCTGTCTGCGCGGCACCGACCGGCGGCGGGCGAAGACGCAGGTACACCTCGAAGAGGTTGTGAGACGATGGTTTGGGAGGCGCTTCCATGGTTGGCATCCAAGTTGCAAACCGATTGTGTTGGTGTTCCACCGTCCGTTAAATCAAATGCTGGGCGTAAGGATGCACAACAAGAATATAGGAGATGATAATGCTACCTGCCAGGGGAGCTCTGCAGATGGGAGAGAATAGAAACCGGAGATAGGCCCGTCGAGTGTCGTTGGGTCCACTGTTTACTTTTGCCTAGGATCGTCGGTGTGGCTGGCCGGGCAACGGGGTCCACGTCTACGCAATTCACGTCTTGCATTCAGCATTGGGGGTCTGCGATCGCGTATAAATGGGAAAGATCAAAAATAAAATGAAAAACAAGCCACTGCTAAGTTGATTATGCTCGTATTTGATTCTTTGAACTTTCAAGTTTCTTCTTCCTTCTTCCACGATGTTTTTCGCCCGTTGTAATTTTCACAAGTTTGCCGAGCTCATTTGATGCAAGGACTGGTCGCCTAACCCTCTCACGGGCTGGACAGACTCGGCTGCATTTGTGTGTTTTGTTCCCCGATTTTTGTTATCAAAGACATTAGTTTATGGTATCACTTCAAGTCTCCAACCCGCCTTAGGTTTGTTTAGGTTTGTTTTCTCAACGCCTGTTTGGCGTTGGCTGATTTATCTGCAATTCAGTACGCATGACTCTTACCCTATAGCAGGGCTCGAAATTGGCCGTCACCCCTTGACTGTTAACTACTCTCCCAACTTCCCAAGACGAGTCCTTGGCAATTCTTGACTGTACCTGATGCTGAGACGGACAATCTTTGATTTCAATTCAGTCTTTCTCGGTTATCTTTCTAGAACGAGAGCATGCAGGTACGTCTCGAACAATGCCACAACTTGCCGCCCAGAAACCGGGCGAGATAACATGATGCACATACTATCCAGGAGAGTCGGGTCCGAGGCTACCACCTGATGTTGTAGTCTGGCCTGTAAATCACGTCGTCTCTTAGAAGCTGGCTCGGCCGGCGTGAATCCTCACCAGCCATGGCATGGGCGGCGACTGCGCGCCTGAAATGCGCACTTTGAGGCATCAACGATGGATGCATGAGTGCGGTGCGCGCTTGGGCCTCTGGGCAATCCGTCTGGTCAGCATTTCCGAAGACAACATTCGAATTTCATGGAAACGAGACGCGTCGAAACCTGCTGAAGCGTCGTGTGACCAAGCTCATTTCAGGCATCACTGCACACATAGATGGATCGCCACTTCTGATGAATCTCGCCATGTGTCACAGGCACTTGGACATCTATGAACTGGGATGGTGGAGTAAAAACAGGAACTACGTCTATTGACAAAAACTTATGTGACGGTCAGCAAGTATGTAACCAGGCTCAATGCTGACATGGGCGACTCGGTGCTCAAATGTCTCAGTTGAGCGTTGTAAAGTTCCTGCGGATCAAAATTCCCTTGCCCTATTGTACTACTGCCTATATGTGAAGCCTTTATCACTGACGTTGTTGCCCTTACAAACTGGACATTGTGCTATTTTGAATAGCGTATGACAAGTTTGCTCTCCACTGCCAATGATAATTATAGTCGACGTATAGTATTGTTGAAAGCAAGCGATGGGCATAGCAATAAGTGCTGTGGACTTTTGTGTCAGTGCTGGTATTTCTGTCCCCCCCCCCCTCTCTCTCTCTCCCAGAACTTGGCTCGTCTGCGTATTGTTCAAGTATTCGGGGAGGGCAGTGCTTTCGGTAAAAAGCATAGTTGTGTCGCCGCTTCCAAGTATCGTTGGTATAGCGGCCACAACGGAGCAGGTATTTCGTTTCCGCCTCCATGTTGGTTATATGCCGACGCATGTGAAGACCAGATAGGACCATGTCCAAATTCGTCCCGTTGAGGCCAGTTTGGTATTGATGTTGCTGGGAAAGCTTGATTATAGAATTCCGAGTCAATTGACTCTAGCAGATCTTGCCTATCTAAGGAGTTCCGAAGAGGTTAGATAACCTCGCTGGGGCATGATACACTCGGATTCACCACTCGCTGCCGTTTTACTAGAGGCAAATCCGTCTGTTTCGTAGTAAAAGGTCTCTTTGTTAGCTTTATAGCCTTCTTAAGTTCATCTCCTACCTTTATTCGCATTTTTTTAATCTGTTGCTTTACTTCATTGGTGGGATTCTTGATTACGCATTTATGCTGCCAAAATTGATTTATTTTAAAGAATTCCTTGTGGCAGCGTATGCAGTCCTCCTCGCACGAGCAATCCGGGATAGGCACTGTTATATTACGTGTCAAGTGTCTTAATTGAATAATGATTACCTACGTTTTCCATAATGTCGGACGAGGTCATGGAGCCTATTAAACGAGGATTCTGGTCCGCTACAGTCTTCGGAGGGACAAACATGTAACATCCGGTTCGTTGCGGTTTTATTGCTGGTTTCATCCTCTTTTAGACGTATTTGGTCCTTGGCGTTGGCGTGCACGGCCTCGTGCCCATCATCATATTTGAGATGTCGGTGAAGTCGTGAATACAGCGCAGAAACTTCCCGCTAATCTTGATGCGTTAGATAATGTAAACGACACCAAATAATCTTGACCCTTTGCATACCTCAAATGTGGAAGTTCTTTCACGAATCTGGTCTAGCAAGCAGACAGCGCACTCCTTCTGGCATCTCTCCATGATGACCTTGCACTGCACTGGGTTGTACTGTGCCACGAGAGGTTGGGTTAATGATGGTGAACCGGCGAGTTGAGTCGAGAGCCCCTCTCATCATGCCATTGCATACCAAAGACGCCTGGCGTGTTGGTTGCTCGTGTGCTCAGATGGACGCGCAGAACATGCCTCGATGTACGTCTGAACGTTGGTTTGCAATATAGCCTGCATGAGTTGGAGTGGTGCGTACATCACCTTGTGCGCAGATGAGGCTGACTCGACGCGCAGTCTTCTTATTCATGACTGTGATAGGTTCATGCCTAGTTGAGTGCGCACATTTGTGCGTGGCTTCTAGGTATCTAGGAAGTGTCTGGTTGAACGCCTCTGTATAGAAGACGCAGTGCTTGGTTCCATGCGCACCAGACATGTTATACGGCCCCCCTTGACGGTTGCATCTTTGTGTGCCAGTAGTCGTCCTGTAACTAGCAGGCAGCAGCCATCATACCATGGCCGAGACTTGTCGACAAAGGAAAATGAAGGCCCTTGCTCGTCGGTACAATGTCACGGGGACGTTTCCAACCAACGCGACCCCAAAAACATATCGTGAACCAACCGTCAACAATGCACCGGTATATCAGAACACGCCCAACCGCTACTCCTGTGAATCCAATCCCTTTGATACTTGCTTTCTACACGATACGCATTAAACCCTACCCTGCACACCTTCTGCAGATTACTTTTCATGAATCATGGACACTGTCTCTCCTAAAAAGACGTGGAAGACTTTCGAGCGATGCGTGACCATCTATGACGATAAAGTCGTTAAAAGGGAGCTTTATGAGGAAGAGCTCATACGTCGCCCAGACGGCCGCGTCCTCCGACCCTTCTGGGCCAAGGAGAGATTGCAAAACGAGGCTGCGACCCTTCAGTTTATATCTGATAACACTTCTATTCCGGTACCCAAGTGTCGACTCTACTCCAAGGACAACATACTTCACCTTGAAACGCAATTAATCGAGGGAGTGTTACTCAAAGATATCGAGGAGGCGTCTCGACCAACCGCAATAGCAACTGTACATGATCAGTTAACCCGTACCATTATACCGCAGCTTCAGGCGCTGCGTCGAAATTATATTGGGAGCGTTGACTCTACCCTCCCGGTATTCCCGCCGCAGCGGGTGTATATGCGTGATAGACGACCATGGGAGAGAGTAACGTCGGATACTGATTGCTTTGTATTATGCCACAATGATCCTGGCCCTCAAAATATATTTATTTGTCCGTCTAGTTTCCAGATTACCGGGATTATAGACTGGGAGTTTTCGGGGTATTTCCCTTCGTATTTTGAGATTCCTCTGTGGAAGACATTGAACTGGACGGAGAAAGAGGAAGTTTATGCCGAGGCAGAGTCTCGTGAATTTGAGTTCTTTGGACTCAAGCGCGAGGATTTAAAAGACTGCATCCCACCTCCTTGAGAAAACGCTAAGATGGATTCGTCTGTTTGGTTCATACATGGCGCTCATTAATATACATGTATTGTTTGTCGATTACAAGGCGGACCCCGACTATGGTGACTCCGGCGGCTCTGCTGCAATTTGGCATGCAGTTCTCAAAGCATATGAAACTGTAATCTCTCTCTCTCTCTCTCTCTCCCCTATTTTTTTTCCCTTTGTTTTTGGGAATGGGATTAGTTAGTCCCAAATTGTGCCAAAAAGCGACCAAGCTACCCTCCATGATGCGGCGGCAAGGCTTTCCACAAGCGCTCATGTTCGTGTGACTTCACAACGCTCGTTTCGTAGTGGAATTCAATTTGCTATTAGCCCAGGCAGAAGCGTTGATTTGAGGAGTTCCGTGCCATTGATACTAAAGCAACGAAAGGAAATGTCGCCCAGCAGACAACCACCTTTACACGCGGCCACAGCCAACTGACTCACTAATTCTCAGACCATGTCGATTGTATATTTTCCACTTGCTTCAAGTTCAAGATAGTCATCCGTGCTCAACGTGTCAAGGCGACTATTGAATGCGTCCTCGAGCTTAGAACCGGGGTACGTGCTGTGGTAGGGGGGAAAAAGACCCAATCCGAGGTATATGTACCATGCAAAAGTGTTCTTCGGAGGAGGACCTCGCGCTCCATCAGCACATCATCACTATTCTCGGTTGCGATTCGAAGCAGAAAATGTGTGGACGGAGCAGATGCGCCGCTAAGAGACGTTAACCAATCTGTTACCGCTTTGCGAGACGTATTCCACTCCAGTATTTTTGCCTGGCCCTGCGGGAATTCGAAGTCACTGAACTCTTGGAACTCGATACCAAATCCAACAAATATCAGAGGCGAGCCGTCTCTGATGTGGCGTCGAAATTTCTACCGGCCGCGTAGACGAAGTCGGCAAGACTTGGTACTGCCAAAGAAGTTTGGCGATGCTCGTACTAGTTGGAGGTCTAGGATCTCCCCAGTCGCTGCCAGAGAGGACAGCTCGACTGTTCGTATTGATGCAAATATAGACGCCCGGGATCACGTAGGCGCGTGTTTTATTTCGGTTCCAATGCTGGGCGCCAGGTCTGGACCGAGCTCGCGCTGTGGAGAATACTGACTCCATAGCATGGACAGAGGAAGATCACCCTTCCATATGCTAGCAAGATATTCCGACGGACCTAGTTTCATTGCAGAGCAACAACACTTGGCTACTGCGGAGATGGGAAACTAGCGATCAACGACAAAGATGAGTGAGGTGTAAGAGTATTCCTCCACAAGCTTGTACCACTGTGACTTCACTGCTCCACGGACGACGCAGGTGTGTTGGCTCCTAAGCCGAGGCGTGTTGGTGGGTGCCCCGGAACACCCTCTATCAAGACTACCGATGCCTCAATATCGGGGCATTCCCAAAAAACCTGATTCTTGGTGAAGTTAATAACGCGTGGTGCTAGCCTCTGTTGTTGGAGAACCCAGCCACGCTTGTTCAAAGGATCCTTGGACGATCCAAGGAACCATTTGTTGGGAGAAATCTGGAGTCATGTATCCTCCCGCGTTTTGGGGTTTCTGATTGTTGCTCGACATGGGATGATGTATTAGGGCTTCCGGTCAGACCAAATCTTCTCGGAACCGTCCCTCTGTGGCCGACATGTTAAGCGTAGAGTTGCGGTATATTTCATCTATTTGCATGTTCTCTGACGTTTTCTCTGGCCCGTCGACCTGCATTATGCATAAAGCATCGATCCATATGTAGCTAAATCCCAGACACCTGGTAACGTGGATGGCGTGTCGAAACACGGCTGCTTCTGCGCAATTTAGGATTTGAGGGGATATATTCTTGCTTAGAAGAGACCGCGTCTTTTAAGTAAGGAGTCCTCTAGGCGCGTTCCTCCGTCTATGGCTCAGGGTGAGGTATCAAGTGTCTGAAGGCAGCGAATTCGACGACACGATGCGGACGTTGGGTAGACTTTCGACGTTCAGACAACCTGATTCTTTCAGCGTATCCTCTTCAACTGGTCAGGAACGACCCAAGTCGGCTGACATAATATCAATCAGTCTCAGTGGTAGTCTGCCGTTTATTCGGCGCTTTGGGTAGGTACCATGATACAAGATGCAGTCCTTTAAACATGATCTTGTCCTGCTTAATGTCTGCAGCGACCATGTGCTCGGGGACTCAAGGACGCAAACATGTCCATGTTCAGCTAAGATGATTAGTGTTCTATAGTCCACAATCTTGGATGCCGGCGTCTTTCTGTATTCTCAGAGAACCTGGGTAACGCGTCTGGTAGTCTGATGCTTCCGTATTGAATCCAACGAGCACAACAGTTGCGGAATTTGGGTCATGTCGAGCTCTGGAGATGCCGAAACCTAGGGCTTCGCTGGAGTCAAATGCCTCGAGAAGCCAGGGAATGGAGTCACTTAGGAGCATGCGCATGTGACATTTTGAAGAAGACAACACATTGGCCGTTAGTTGTATTTGGTATAAAACATCAGACACAACCGTAAGGGCATCTTGGACGGATGCAGATGAGAGGAGACATGCCGTATCCGCTAAGATCTGATGCATTCGTTGCATGTGTGTTTGCTTGGGGCGACGGCAGGTGAGCCATAGGTGGTGGAAAGTCCAGTTTGAGGGACAACCAAAGACCATGGTCTCGGAGGACCGGGATTCTGACATTTGCTACCAAGGTCTGGTAGGGACTTCCCCTCTCGTTACTTTGCCCCGTTGTGACGGTACAGGAGCGTAGCCCCAGTGTAACCGTGTGACGCCTAATGATACTGACAGTCCACATGGCGCCTGCAGAGGCTATTTTGATAGTCTTGTATACTAGTTGTAAAGTTTAATCCGTAGTTGGGAAATTGGATTGTGACTTGAAACAAACCGCTTGAACGTCCATGTCCCTGGCTCGTAATCCTTGCCCTAGAACTCAACTAGTATATCCTCCTCCTTCCGCTATCAGCTTAAGGAGATAGGGCGTCATTATTATGACCTTGAGAAGAAAGAATTACGAACAGACAGTTAATGGATCCCGACCCATAAAGGCTCTCCCCGAAACGAGGCAGCAGACAAAGCGGCTATGGAGGGATCTGGCGAGGAGAATAAAACGTGATGACGGGTCGCCGCAGAGCGCTCTGTATGTTTGGCAGAAGTGAATCCTAGCAGCGATGTTGGGGATCAGATCTCTACCCGGTTCTTCGCCGTTTAAAGCCTTTCCAACAATGATGTGGAAGTTAGTGCCGCTGCATGTTCCAGCTACGCCGCCTTCGATGCGGAGTAGATGATGGTTATTCGACGATCTGGCAAGAACATATGTATACCCTTCCCAGGGAGCCATGTTGATGCATCGGACTGGGAACAGACGTACAATAAACACTTGACCCCCCCGAAGCCGCAGCGCCCACTCTTCCGCCCCCATCTGAGCCATTATTGTAGGATGTACGGGGTAAATCGACGCGTTCATTTCATCTCATACTCAACTGGGTAAAACCGCGCCGCCTGAATCGCTTCAACGCCAACGGCAGGACTACGGCAGAACTTAATTCCGAAAGTCCAGGCGCGGGCCGTGCGGATTTGCACAAATTGGTGCTACGCGGCACTGGGGTCTTCTCACATGAAAGAGGAAGCTACAGTACATTTGCACAAAAACCAATAATACCAGCTGCATCTGCGGCTGTTCGCACCATGGAGTCTTGGGCACATCATTGATCTCCTCTTGCCGTTCTGCAGTAAGAGCTGCCACAAGACTGGACCACCGCCACCACCTTTAACGGGCTTGGTGAAATGTCAAGTGGCGTTTGAGACACGGACCCTCGGCAATCCGAAGATCGAAACCCTGAAAAAAGCGTAGCTGACCAGGGCAGGGGGAAGAGAAGCTGGCTGGACCCTCCAGACAGGGAGAACAAAGGATGCCAAAAAAAAAAAAGGTAAAAATCTGTCGCCATCTCTCTGTCACTGTGGCGGTTGGCGTTTGCCTCTTTCACGAGAGCCGAGTTTCCCTTCACGCGGGAGTCATTTCCACGAGTGGCGTACGGAAGGACTGCCGGATCTTGTACTCCGTAGATTCACGAAGAGGTGATGGGGATATTGGCGTATCGACGACACCAACAGACCGGACGTCAGCTCCATCAAGGGAGACGCAAGTCCCGTGGATTGGCCTGAGTGAGGGTGGAAGAGCGCCACGCACAGCACGACAAACAGATTCGGCCAATAACCCAGTGGCTCGACCAAATCGGATCGCCATGTGAACCCTGAGTCACTTGTAGCGTTGAGTCATCTCTTCATAGCCCTGGAAAAAAAAGTATAAACCGCACGGCGGATTTGGCGGTGATGCCTGGGCCATTCTGCTCTACCAAGAGGCATTGCAAAGCTGTCAAACGACAGGTTGGCCGGAAGGACCTCAAAGGAGGGACGGGAGAGACCATGACTGGCACCAGCCAAATGGGGTATGACTCCATCGTCATGGCGAGGGGACTCGGCATATGTATGCTGCCATGTCAGCATCGACACGTGCAGTTGCCTTGCCATGTTCCCCAGTTTCAGACGACATCGGGCGCTGAGTCTCAACAAAGTCAATCATGCATGGCACTTCAAGACAGCAGTGCTGCCCGACCCGGCTTGCTTCCTTGGACGAGTCTCGGCTCGAATCACAATGACGGGCATGATCCGACGACATGGCCCAACAGCGACCCAGGCTCAACAATTCCCATTGTACGTCCAGAGTGCGTTTCCCTGGTCTTGGGGACCCCTGCCCGGGCATATATCCAGGGCAAAGAAGCAGCATCCACTCCAATAATGGCATCACTTTTTTTTTGCTGGGATAACATGTTCCTGATTGTCGCTGAGCCAACTAGATCGGGATCCGTCCCCTCGGCGACAATGAGGCTCGGCTCTAACAAGCGTCGTCATTTTGCTAGTTGGGAGGGGGCCAAAGGACAATCAGAGCCATGCAATACGATACCGTATACCTTGACGACGTGATACCCCGTACGTACAGGCAGCTAAAGGACGAGACAACCGGGCTAGTGGCATAAACCCCTGACGGATCATCATGACGAGAAAATGCTCCGCTAGGTGGCATCATGGTGCCGCGCAAGTCGCCTCCCCAAGGCCGGCCCAGCACGAGGCGAGAGGGGAAAGAAAAAGTTGAATGGAGAAAGAGGTCGGACCCAGTTTCTCTTGTGGAGCAGCTTTTTTAGTTTAGTTTGCTGCAGAGCCTGTCTTTGACGTTGGATGTGAGACGGCGATGGTGAGGCCCGACCGAAGGATGAGGAAAAAAAAAAAAAATAAGATAGAAAGATAGAAAGAGACGAGTGGCCATTCCCGTCAGGATCCAACGACTCAGGAATTCTTCGCTGGGCTTGCGCAGTTACATGGCTAATGGCATTGATGAATGCCTGTTCAACATATATTGCAGTTTCCTTGGTAGACCATGTTTTGGAGCTCTCAACATGTCGACGGATTGAAACAAAGTGAAAGGCTTCAGACGAGCACATGGCCCAGACCTACTTGATGTCATTCATGTTCACAATGGCTTTCCCTCTTCATAGCATACATATATTGCCGAATTCACTGGCCCGAACGATAGCCATCTATCATTCATTGTCTGAATCCATGATGCCACCAACTGACTAGCCGCAGCGGGCTTGGGTCAAGCAGTCCGTGGGCGCGTATTCAGCTGGCTCCAGGTTCTTGACAGCCTGTCATCCACCGGCAATGTCAATGCCCACAAATCGTACCTGAAAATGCCTGCGCCAAACATCCCATCTCTGCATCATCTCTCTTGGAATGCAAAGAGCGGTGACGCTGCCGCCGCTGCACCCGCCGCTGCACCTTCCGCACATTGCTGTAACTGCTCCGCGCCTGGGCTGCACCTTCCCTCCAGTTGACGCTTTTGCTGCACCCGAGTGCCCCCGTTCTTCGACCGATGCGGCCTAGTGCACCTGTCCGCCGCCCACCCCTGCCCACCCCTGCCCGCCCGCCCAATCAGCTGCAAGACCCCACTATGGCGGGAAAAGTTTGGGAAATCCGAGTAATATTTCTCCCATTGCCAGCTCCCTTTTGATTCTTCTCCCTTTCTTCTCTTTCGTGTCGTCAATCCCATCAACCCTCCACGAGACAACGAAGTCGCCCTACAATAGCATCCAGCAGATCACCCTCAATTTCGGAACTTTCGTCGTGTCAAGATGCCTTCGGCCGTCGCTGAGCTGTAAACGCCCACTGCGGGCCACCGCCAGTCCCAGTGGTCCGCAGTCCAGCAGTTCTTCGAGTCTTTCAACAACAATCCCAACGACGATCAAGTTTCCATAGCAGGCTTTCACGCTCCTGAGCCGTGGAAGATAAGAAATCGAACCATCGAATTGCAACAGCGGTTCTCCCGAGAGTCTGTATCTGACATCAAAGATTGTGCTATTCGCCCGTTCCAACAGGGCACTTCATCCGAACATCTCGTCTCCTCACCCTCCTCTCTCTTCTTCCCGCTCTCCTCACATCCTTTCACGCCCTTGAGTCTTTATGACCCCCCCCCCCCCCCCCAACTTT